ATTCTTGTAGCTAGGGGGAGCAATCATGCTCAACTAACTTCCAAATATAAGTATATAATTCATGTTCTCAAGTCTAGATTTCAAGTTGACTGGCCCACTGTTGTTAGTGATAACATGAGGAAATCCTATAGGCTTCTTCTCTATCCATTACCATATTTTGTATTTCTGTCTAAAGTATTTAAATACGTTGGTGTTAATGTGGATGGAAAATCCTTCACCATCATGAGCCATGTCAATGCTATAGGAAAATTTGCTCTTCACCATATGGGATTGGTAAAGAGGGATGATTGATGGTTCTTTAAAGATGAAGAAGAATTTGTTGATGAAGGGGTTGAACCTATTAATGCCAATATCCCTGATCCCTCTACTAGGAGTAACTTTTCTGCATTTGAACAGATCATGTTAGAGAAGCTAGATAATATTCATTTATGGCATAAGGATAAACATTAGTATTATTGTTCTAGATTTGATGCATTGGATGATCAAGTCTCATCCATTATATCCATGTTTCAAAAGGAACAAGGTGGTACTGATTTGCAAGATGATGAAGATGATAGTGATGGAACAGTCCAAATATCCTCCAACAATGATGCATAATCTCTTTTTTATCTAATCTGCTTGGACAATTTTTATGATGCATTATAATAATTATTTTTTACTTTAGTTGGTTTGTAACTAAATACTAATTATAAATCTTTTTTAATATAATATTATGCTATTACTCTTTAAACTGCATGTTTAACCTTTTTTATTAAGTCCAAGGGGGGAGAAAGAGTTTACAAAGGGAAGAAATAATGGTACTGCTTATTACTAATATTGACACTCGTTGAGAAACTTTCAAAATTTTTACTTTTGTTTTTGGTAATTAGCCATCATAAAAAAAGGGCGAGATTGTTAATGAAGAGGGAAGATATTTGAAAAATCTTTTTTTGATGATGTCAAATGATAGATAGGTAGTTAGTATAGTTAGTTTGTATAAAACTAAAATAATCTAAACTTTAAAAGTAAAAATAATCAATTATGTTAAAACTTAAGCATTAATAATCGATTAGATAAAGGGTTAATCGATTATATGACTTAAAATTAAATTTTCATAAGATGCGCTAATAATCGATTATGTGATCACTTAATCGATTATTTGTCAAAAAATTTATTTTAACATAACGTGCTAATAATCGATTAGATAAAAGATTAATCGATTATATAACTTAAATTAAGTTTTCATAAGACGTGTTAATAATCGATTATATGAATGTTTAATCGATTATTTGCCAAATATTTTGTTTTAACACAATATACTAATAATCGATTATGTAAACACCTAATCGATTATCTGACTATTTTCAAACTATCACTGCACTTAAATAATCGATTAGATAAATCTACTAATTGATTATCTGTGACAGTTACAACAGTTTTCTTTCTATAAAAGGATGCAAACTTTTTTCTATCAAATAAACCTTTAAAAAACAAATTAAAGCAATTAGAAATAATGTTTTAGGCATCAAGGAAATAAAGGTTGTTTGGCTATAGGGTGCATAATTTTGTAAATCCAAGGTGAATTCGTTTCATATATTTCTTTTGCATCTTGTTTTTTAACTTTTGATGTATGTGAAACTAGCTAACTTGAAAATTATGAGATAAAATATTTTCAAGTATTGTGATCTTGATTAGAGATTGTTGTAAATCAAGATCATTTGATTAAGTTGTAATTTGCTTTAATGTGAAAATTTTCAAGCTAAGGTTATTTGGTTAAAACTAGATGTAGATTCAAGAACAATCGAACCAGTATAAATTTCTGAGTCTTTTCTTCTTTTCCCTATTTTGGTATTCTTGTTTTCTAAAAATTGTGATATTTCTTTTGTAATTGATTATCAGAGAAAGTTCTCTAATAATTGATTAGAAATTCAAAAGATTTTTGAAAACTCAATTCACCCCTCCCCCCTCTAGGGAAAGTTCTGTCATTATCATTTTATTAACACTTTCATGATATCTAAATGTCATAGATTTTGTAAATCTTTCAAACCATGCTCGTGGAGATTTTTCAACCCATACAAATTTTTTTTTTTTAATTTGCATACTCTTTTTTCTATGTTTTTCGAGTACCATGCAACCTAGTGGGAGCTCCATACACACATATTCAATTAATTCCTCATGTAGAAACTTTTACATCAAATTATTTTAATGGTCAATCCAAATTTGGTGTCAAAGATAATAATATTTGGACCATGTTAATTTTTTGCTACAAGAGCAAACGTCTTTGTATAATCAATCCTATATGTCTGGGTATATCGTTTTTCCAGTAGTCTTGTTTTATATCTTTATATTGTACCATTTGCCTTGTATTTAAGAGTGTAAAATTCACCAACATCCTACTGATTTCTTTCCTAGTGAACTATCAACTAGAGTCCAAGAATAATTTTTTTAAAGTGAGTTTACTTCCTCATTCATTATGGTCTTCCATCTTGAATCAGATAAAGCTTCATACAAAATGTTGGGGATAGCTACAATAACTAACTAATTCATAAATATTTTATTTATTTCTAATAATCTATAATTTGATAGGTGAATCATAGGATATTTAATTTTACTACAAAGATGTTTTGACAATTATTTTATGACCAACAAATTATTTATATCATCTTCATTAAAAGGTTCATGTGAGACTTCACTATTATATCTATAAGAGGTTCATGTGAGACTTTAATATTATTTATATATAAAGGTTCAGGTGGTACTTCAATGTTATCACTTCAATATTATTTTCACTAAGAAATTTATATGACACTTCAATATCATATCTAATAAGATATTTACTTAAAATTTAAATTTTAGATGGACCTTATATATCATAATATATTATCATAAAAGATTGATGACTTTTATTTAAAATTTAATAGAAATGATGTTTTATGACTCTTTAAAATTAGAAACATCATGTTTTTTAAATAGGGTAGGAAATCATTTTCTTACCAGAACTAGATTTCAATTTTATTTTATTTTTTTCTCTCTTAGAGTCATCAACTGTTAATACTTATTGTGACTCATCAAATTTTTTATTTTTTAAAGATCTAGGTGATATAAGTTTTCTTTCTTAATACCATGATCAATTCATTTTTTTTTTGTTATTTTTAAGAACACAAGAGACAAGCTAAAAAATTCTTACACAAGATAAATAAGTTATTATTTGAAAAATAGATAAAAAATTAAAATTTAAATAATGAACAATCAAGACAAAAAGATCTAAAGTATTAGTAAGATTTAAATATTCTTCTTTAATAATTTGGGTTTTTATTTTCATTTGCGAGTATAAACATATTTTCTTGTAGATGGTTTAATTTTGGTAATCTTTTTAAGATCAAATATCATCTGATTTGTAGCTCTAATATTAATATATCATTAGAAATATTAATAATCTTATCAAAATTATTCATAGTTGTTTATAGTACAGATACTTTTTTATTTTGTTTGATAGTGAAGACTTCCTTTCTCAATTCTGATATTTATATCTCCTTCTTACCATCATAACATGTTTTTTAAAAAGTATTAAAAACTTCTCCACTCAAGTTTGAACAACAAAAGAATAATAATTTATGAGTCTTACATTACATAAGAGTCGAGACCAATAATAGTTTATATACATTTTTCTTTTTTAACTTATTAAAATGTCTTGTAGGTGCAAAATTATAATAGACTAAAACTATAAAATATAAAATACCTCAAATTGACTTAACCTTAACAATGTTATGAATATGAGTTCGGTTCATGGACAAATCAATATAATTATAGATTTAGTTTATAATTAATTATATAATTTATTTAAATATATAAAAAATAAACTATAAATATAACAATATTTATATAAAAGAACTTCACGATATATTTTTTTATTTGAGAAATTTTCACACTAAAATGTTTAATAATATTTATTTTACAATTTTTATAAAAATTAATTGAAAACCTAATAATAACAAAAATCGTAAAATTGATGCTTGCTTCCTGTGTTATTGTGTTGGTGAGATCTTATGATATTTTGGTTACGCTATGGACCTCTGGATTCCGAAATTGAACTATGAATACCAACCCACAATTCAACTTCTCTCGTTCTATGTAGATAAATCTCACTCATCAGATTTTCGGGGACTAAATTCTTAAGGTGTATCTATCATTGAAAATAAAGCGGATTCTTTTCTAATTGTTTATATATATATATATATATATATATATATATATATATATATATATATATATATATATATATATAATTGGATAGAAAAAAAAAACATTACAATTTTAAAAATTATTATAAATTATTTTAAAAATATGAAAAAGTAGACATATTTAAAAAATAAAAATAATATTTTAAAAAATTAATTATATAAAAACATAAATAATGACTAATCTTATCATTGATATTAAAAACATAAAATAGTATATTATTAATAAATATAAAAATATGAAAAAATATAAAAAATAAAATATCAAAGTTTTCAATAATTCAATTAAATATATTTAATAATTATTAGATTAAATTACAAAGTTTCCCCTCGCCTAAAAGAGCTCCCACTGAATACATTATATTTTTAGTAAAAATAAAAAAATTATTTAAATAAATAAAAAGTCAGGAAATTAGTTTAGATAATTAAATATTATTTAAAAGAAGAAAAAGTCACAAAAGACCTTTACAAATATATTTCTACAAAATTTACAAATAAAAAACAATTATAATTTTATTACGAAAAAATTATAGTTTTATAATTGAAAGATATATGTTAAAAATTATAACCTTTTCTCACACGTTTCTTTATTTTTAATAAACCTATGTAGTGTGAACACGTATAAAAGTCATTAAATGAAATAAAGTCATGATTTCACCTCGAACAAAGTCAACTCCTGTTGCAACGTGATTCTTACGACATAAGCACGAAAATTATCCTTCGCCAGCACTTATCACCCCCATTTCCGCATTTCACATTTACAGCCAAACGCGCCCTAACACCATGGCAAGAATCGCTCATTCCGTTGCCGTTTTCCTCTCCTTTCTCTTTCTCCTCACTCTCACACTCGCCCGTGATCTTCAAAACCCGGTTTCCGAACCCAAACCTCAATCTGAACCTGTGAACCGTCCCCAACCTAAAACCCAACACGACACCGTTTCCTTTACCATCGAATCCATCGATCCCGTTCCCCTGACGTTCCTCCGCTTCCGTCCGGTCAACCGCCACGTCCACTACGACCGTCCGTTTCCGCTGCCGTTGTCTCTCCACTCCGGTCACCGCCGATGCCGCCACGGCCACCGCCTCCAGATCCCCTATGGCAACGACGCGATCTTACTTGACAACGCTGCCGCTCGCCGGATCCACCCGCACTGGGTCCCCGTTCACACCGCCTCCAAGATGCGGGATCTGGCGACCGCCGAGCGCGCCGATTCCGTTCGTGAACACCGTCACCACCACGGCGAGAATCACCACCAGCACCGCACGGAAAATTGGTTCGCCAAGAAGATTCGCGAGTTCCTGAACCTGTTCTGATTTTGGTAACGTAACCGAATTCGTGAAAGTGATGATGATGTGTAATACAGTACTTACATATATATATATATATATATATATATATATATATATATATATATATATATATATATATATATATATATATATAGATATATATAGATAGATAGATAATAAGGGTTAAGGTTTTGTGTAAATAAATTTGCATCTGTTACAGAGGTGTGGAAAACATGTATGATGTATCATACTATGTTCTGCTATTCTACTGCTACTACAAAGTTTTAATTTTTATGTTATTTATGAGTTTGAATAGAATAATAATAGGTGTTTATGACACTTGTAGTGAGTGTTTGATGAAGATTGAGTACCAATACTTTATATAGTGAATTGTTGGCAAAATATTAGAATCTATGTAAGTTTTAAATCTATATACATATTTTCATGGATTTTATTTAGAACTTTCTTCATATCATTATTGTGGTATAGTTGATAGACTTAATCATGATTCATAAACATGCAAAACATTGTGGTATAATGGAAAAGATGCATAATTTGACTCCATATTTGATTGATCGAGGGGTCAAATATTAATGTAAAAAGTGTAGATTGAAGAGCTTGAAGGTTGATTGGAGGCAAATGAATAAAAAATGAAAGCAAGAATCAAGCACTAGTAAGGGGTGATGAAAAGCAAAATTCATTGAAGAGTATAGGAGAAGCAAAGGTGTGTGAGCAATTAAATTGTTTTACAAGGAAAATTACTATGCATTGAGATTTTTATTTTTTATTTTTTTAAGTCGGTGTGAGATGTTAATATAATTTTTACTCTTTTTATTTTGATTTTATATTTAAATTTAAATATTAAAATATTAATTTTAAAAAAAAATCACAAATTATATACACATTTTTTATAATTTAATTTTTTACTTTGCTATTTTTTTTTAATCTCTTTAATAAATTGAATATATTATTCTCATATCTTGTTCCTTCAAATTTTTCTAATCTTTACAATTATTATTTATTATTTTATTTAATTAATTTGATAAAATTAAAGTTTTTTTTTCTTTTATTTTTTATAAATATTTTAGATTTATCTTAATACTTTTTAATATTATTCTATTTCTAATTATCTTTATTAAGTTTTGTTATATTATATTTTTTAAATTTTATTATTCATATTTTTCATATATTAAATTTTATCTTATTAATTAAATAATTCTATTTTTAAAGGATTAACAAAATTTTATAATTAAAATTTTTATTATTTTACACTAATTTAATAAGAATATGTAATTAAATCTTTTTTATAAATTGTATATTTAATATTTGTTAATATTTTAAAATGATAATTTAAAAAATAATTAATTTATATATCATTATATAAATATATTATAATATATAATAATTACAACAGTATAAATATTTTATATTCATATAAAAAATGCCAAATACTATTTTATATACATTTTTAATATAAATATAATATTTAAAAATATATACTTAATAATAAAAATTATATAATTATAAAAGATGTTAAAATTAATTTATTATAAATATAAGTAGATGAAAATGAAAATTTAATTTCTAACCCAATAAAAATATTAAATGAGAATAAAAATGGTTAAAAAAATGGGAAAGGGGTCGGGAGGTCGACCCTCTTGCCATGCCTGGTTCTGATCATGTATTGATGATGGTGAGTGCCAATTATGTAAAAAGAACACAATTTGAAGACAATAACAAAGTCATTGTCATTCTTTGAAGAAGAGAAACTCAAACGGAGAAAAAGTTTGTTCATTCATTCTAAAAGCTTTTATGGGTTTTGGAAATTCAATGTTTTAAATGCTAGAAATTTAAATTAATTTTCTACATTTGAAAATTTCCTTTTTTTTTTTTTGGAAAAATAAGTTCAAATTTCATATATTTCAATCATTAATATAGATAGAGTAATATAATTTCTACCACATGAGATGTCAAACTATAAAAAAATTGTGACTTAAATAGAACAAGATAAATTTTTTCCGACTTATTTAAGTCATACCTAAAGTGGCTTAGGACCATCGACTTATGTATTGTTCCGTTTTATAAAATAATTATTATTTTATCAATAAAATAAAAGTAATATTATTTTATTAGAAAATATAAGTATAATGAATTAATTTGGTAATATATTTTGTTATATATATATATATATATATATATATATATATAATTTAAAAAGAATAATAAACTTTAAACATTATTTTGTTTACTTTAGCCATCTTCTTTATGTTGTTGTTATAACAGTTGTTTTTAAGAACCAATGATTTGAGATGACATGTTCTTTTAAAGAACCAAAAAATAATTTATGTTGTTTTGAAATGTAGTATATTTTTAAAGAATTATGATGTGAGAGTTATGTTAGATAATAAGGCTAGCTTGTTAAAGTAATAAAAATTTGACTTTAAAATTTACGGATATCCATAGATACATTATTAAACATGATATTCAATTTAGCTATGTTGAATAAGAGGAGTTTGTTGAAAGTAATGAGGGGGAGATTGATGGAAATGTCCCTACATTCCCAAGAGATGATTTTGATGATGATTCAAGTCAACTACATTCAAGTCAACATCATTCAAGATGAATTAAAGACAAGTTGAATTTAAGACGTTGGTGACAATGTGAAACATTTCCCTACATGGCCAAGATATATTTTTAATAAAGATGATGATTCAAGCAAGCCAAAGATGATTCCTGAATACTAGATAGAGTCTTAGAATACTGGACATGGAAGTACAAGTTGATGAAGTAATATTATGCATAAGCCTCCAAAACACAAGTGTGATAAAATTTCATAACATGATATTTTTCACTATCATAATCAATTATGATGTATCAGAAATGGAAAAATGATTTTCTCTGTCATAATTGATTATAATGGTAACATAATTAATTATGGCAATTCAAATTTGAAAATTATATATGTTTTAAAAAATAAATGTTTTTGAATACATCCTAATTTTCTCTATGATATTATTAATGTCCAACAACCATTTTTCGATGCTATTTTTCTATTTAATTAAGTTTTGATGAAAAATAAAAAACACACAATTACAGAATTCGAAAAAACAATTTACATTCAATCAGTTTTGAGAAAAGAATTATGAGCAAGGCAACAGAGATATTTTACACCTGTTGAGAAAACTCTCTTTTCTACTGCCTTCTGTGTTTTCATTGTTAATCACACTTGTTCTTGGAGATTAGCATTCTACAGGCTTCTACAATTTGTTGTCTCCATTACCTAGGTGTGACTGTTCTTATCTTACTCCTTCATCCTTTGTGGGTTTAGGAGGTGTTTTCATCCCTTTGATTTGTTCAGGGAGGTGTTCATCCCTAGTGTGATTCTAGGGAGGTGTTCATCCTTAGTAGGATTCTAAGGAGGTGTCTTTCATCCTTTGATTTGTTCAGAGGAGGTGTTCATCCCTAGTGGAATTCTAGGGAGGTGTTCATCCTTGGTGGGATTCTAAGGAGGTGTTTTTCATCCTTTGATTTGTTCAGAGGAGGTGTTCATCCCTAGTGGGATTCTAGGGAGGTGTTCATCCTTAGTGGGTTTCTAAGGAAGTGATTGTCTTTTTAATTAGTTTACTTTTTACTGGTTCTTCTGCTGAGTTGATTGTAATATGTAAACTGAATTTGAAAGATAGTGAATTGGGAGTCACTCTTGTGTTAAGAGTTGGCTGGGAACTGGATGTAGGGTTGACTATACCCGAACTAGTATAAATTACTGTCACTACTAGAAAAATGGTTAATAGTGACCGAAATTAGTGACCGAAAAATTCAGTCACTGATAGTAACTGAATCAGTGACTGATTTCCCGATTTATATTTAGTGACTGATTTAGTGACTAAAATTTTAGTAACTGATTCGGTCACCAAACCAGTCACTGATTCGGTCACTACTAGAAAAATGGTTAATAGTGATCGAAATTAGTGACCGAAAAATTCAATTACTAGTAGTAACTAAATCAGTGACTGATTTCTCTTTTTATATTTAGTGATCTGGTTTAGTGACTAAAATTCCAGTCACTAAACAAATAATTTATAAATTAGTGACATTTTTTATTTATATAAATATTTTTTAAAAATATTTTAATAATATATTAAATATAAATGTACTTAATAATTTAAAATAATTGATAAAATTTTTAATAACATTATAAAAATTTTAAATATAGTTTATTAACTTATTAAATAATTTAGTAATATAATTATTTGATTTTATTTTTTAATTTATTATGTGAATAAAAAAATTAAAATTAATTATTAAATTTGTCACCGAATCAGTCATTGATTCGATCATTAAAGTAATTATTAATTTAGTCTCTTTTATATATATAATTAATGATTAAATTAATTATTAATTTAGTCTCTTTTTAATATATATATATATATATATATATATATTACTTTTATGTTAATAAAAATGTATTTATAAAAAAAATTAAAATTATTTTAATTATTGAATTGATATTTCAAATTTATATTAATATCTTAAATAATTTAATAATTGGCTAAATATTTTAAGTTTATATTAGTATTTTTATAAAAGTGTAAAGATTAAGTGAACTTATTTTAAAATTTAATTAAACATAATAATATAATATACTATTAACCATAAATATGTAAAGATTTAGTTAAAAATTAATTTTAAGTTTTATCGTTTTTATTTAAAAAAAGTTGTTAAAAAAATCAAAATAATTAATTAAAATAAAGAATTTTAATTTAATAAATGTGTTAATATTATTAGTTATTGGAGAATTAAATTAATAATAATAATTATATAAAATTATAGAATTAATAAAATTTAAATTATTGGTATTTTTTTAATCATGAAGCTAAAATTTGATAATATTAATAAATTAAAAAAAATAAGAAAATTTATATATATATATATATATATATATATCACTTTAATTATTTTAATTAAAAATAATTTCATAAAAAAACTAATATTTGAAAATAAAAATGCAAAAGTATATATTTTTT